AAGCTTAGACAGACTTTCTTACTCAGTTGAGTAAAGGTTTTTGCCAATTAAACCTCCACAGGGTTTGGCAAAATTGTGGCCAAAATGACAAATCATATTTTTCAACTGAAATGCTTAAATAAATTTCTATTTTGTTTACAGATTCCAGAATTATAAAGCAATCACCAGAAAAAAGAAAACTTATGTGGAGAAAAAGTATTTTTTTCATTACAAGGAACAGAATTATTATCGAGAAGTGTGCTTCCGGTTTTCTCTGGAACTAGAGTTCAAACAGTGTAAAAAGTTTATAACTCAAACAGACACAGTTCATCGATATTCTAGAAGAAGGAAAAAAGCTTTCTATTAAAGATTAGCTAAGGGTACCAAGCAAACTAAAAACACAAACAGTACCGTAAAGAAATCACAGGCAGACACAAGAGTAATCCAACTAGATCTTTATCGCAAGGCATCTATGCGCCTCCACAGTGACGAGAGAGAACTCTGAAACTTGAAGCTACAGAATGCGAATTCTTCTTCTATTTGTCTGCTCGATATAAAGCTTTTATAGTTATCATCGTGGTGTGCGCAGAAATGAAATGAAAGGTGATCCCGTTATCAAAGGATTTTCTTTATTAAGAAATTTTTCGCCCTGGTTGCAATGTTTGAATGGCTCTGGGAAAATCATGGCACGGTGTTCCTTTGATATTGAGATGAATCATCCTGGGATCACTGAGGAAACTCGCAAACATTGCCATCCCTAAGCCACCAAGATCTAGTCTTTCATATCGTAGGAGTGCGCCATTTTGTTCGTCAAAGCCACAGGATTACAAATTGTCCGAGTGAGCTAAATTTGAAGAAACCCTGAGTAAACACAATATTAATTCAGATTTTGGGGATTTCAGGATTAAATTATCAGCTGTATACTCCTGAGCATTAGATTAGCCCAAAATATGCGACTTCGGATTGGAGAAGCTCTCTTTCTTGGCTAATCTAACACTCACTTTGCTAGATTCCTCAGTCAACACAATCCACCTTATCTTTTCCAAACATTCTTAAGACCTCAAACAATCAAACCAGAGATGTGCCATTAAAACTTTACACCTTCTTATTCTATATTGAGACAGACCATTGAACCAACACTAACAGCAACTGTCATTTTCACGACCATACTCTAAAATGAGACCACGAGAAAGTGCTCTCGGAAGTAATTCTCCATACACCACCTTTGCTACGTTTTAATGGCTATATTAGACAAAGATTAACAACACACCTGGATTAGCAAAAATAATTGTAAATGTCATACAGCTTAAGTTGAAAATGCGCATGATTTAATAAGCAAACAGGGTGAAGGTAGAAACATGCTAAAATTACGAGCCGTTGAAAACAAGGTCAAACATAAATCTAACAGAGAATATCTATCAAAATCTTTTTCGAAATCATATCTATGGATAACTTCTTGACTCAAATCTTTGTATAAATTTAGAGACAATTTCGAAAAGGTACCTCATTTTGCCAAATTTTAGCAAATGCAAGAAAATCTCAGGAAACTTATTCTTTCTACACTCCATATTCTTATCATATCTCTTCTTCGGTTGTCAAAGTGTATTTTTAACAATGAAATTGTTTAACTCCACTTTTACGTGTGCAATTGGTTACAAGCAATGGTGAAATAGGAAACATGGAGCTTAAAAAGAATCACCAGGATTTTGATTGCATCGAAAATATTTCGAGGAATTATTAATATAATTCTGTATACAATGAGGGATCAAAGAGATTCGGGACAAAAACAAAGCGGATTTGACTCTTCAAAAGTTAAAAAGATTTGTTGAGATTGGCCATAACAAGTACCAATTCATAATTTGGATTCCGAAGCATTTAACATTCTAGGCATCAAAACCAAACACCGACTAGCAACCTTCCTACCCTTCAGAACATGACATAAACAGAATTTTAAAATGCGATGAACATCTTTAAAAGACAGCAAAACAATTGTCCTAAAATTTCTTTGCAGTCAAAGCCTTATCAGAAACTTCCATGTGCCCATTATGCGAAGGCTCGACTTCGTAAAACAGCAGTTTATATATTCCTTTCTCCTTTACAAAACGAACCAGATATCAGAGCCACAAAATCAGGGCAACAAAATCAGAGCCACAAAATCAGAGCCACAAAATCTGAGCCGGTACCAACTGACCTCATTTGGCGAATAATGTCCCAATTTGGAACAGCTATGCCATTGCTGTTCCAAATTGGGACATTCGCTCCAGCTGCTATCGCTACCCCAAAAAAGAACTTTTGTGCTAACTTCCACATCTGTCCCAGTAAGGAACATAGACCTATATTGCCACTGTGAAGCAGGCATTCTTGCTCATACCAGTATAATCAGATACAAAGACTGTGAAAAGCGAAATTTGGTGTGACAAATAAAGTACCATACAGCACAATTCCGAACCATACCATACCATACCATACCATACCATACCATACCATACCATACCATACCATACCATACCATACCGTACCGTACCGTACCATACCATACCATACCATACCACACCACACCACACCACACCACACCACACCACACCACACCACACCACACCATACCATACCATACCATACCATACCATACCATACCATACCACACCATACCACACCACACCACAGCAAAGCAGAGCAAAGCAGAGCACAACACAGAAAACACTGTTACAGCAATGAAATTCAAACTGATAGTGTTGTGTTCAATGAATTTATCATGCAAGAGAACAAGAACTTACTCGGCTCTTTGATTATCTGATGATTTTCTTTCGTTTACTTAGAAAAAGCCAAAGACAGAAAATCTCAGTAGAAAGAAATAGAAGAAAAATACCGCAATAAATGAACCATTTTATATCGAAAACATTGAACTCGAGATGATGCAACATTGTCTGATAAAATATTCACTGTTCCAGTATCTTTGATTGTACAGAATACGAAGTGTTGAAATTGCCCTGGTCTGATGGATTTGAATTACACTTCACATCAAAGGGTATTGAGAAGTGGAGGCTTAGCTGGCAAGTTTGATGCACATGACATAACCATCAACCCAAACCAAACCCTTAAAGGCCTAAACAAAATGTCACCTTCACCGCAGTGATTACGGCCGTTTCAAAGATGTAGGAATACGATAAAGCACAATAAGTTCAATCTAATCAGTTCCTTCTCAACAATGAAAACAAATTTAGCTATCATTAAAATCTTAAACATAACGTGGGAATGGGGAAAATAGACGAACCAAACATAGGCAATCGCATGGAATTTCACGATAGGAAGAAAATGGTAAACAAAGATGAACAAATCCCCCAACAGCCTAAAATGGCAGCAACCTGAGCCATCAGGTTAACTAAAAGAATTACAGAAAAATTTTGCACAAGAGGCGACTTATGAGGGTATCAAAAGGATGACGCATGGTTGACCGTTGTCCCCAAGATACGATTCTCAATCGATATGATGGATGGCGTGGAGCTCTGTTTCGTCAGGAAAGATTATTGGGACTGGATTAAGGTTATGGTGTAGATTAAGAAAGGAATCTTGGGATAGAAATAGGAGAATGTTTGACGAAGATAATCACTGCCGTTACTCTGATTTAGCAGTGTAATCAAAGGGTTTTGTTATCGAGCCTCGGAAAGAAAGCATATTCATAACATAAAAATATCTAATCACAGATGAAGAAAGAAACGAAATTCGATCATAAGCTCCGGTTAAACATTAATTTGCTAATCTGCAGACTTTTGAAACATTTGCTAATTGACCTTGCAAAGGCTATGCATTTAGTAACTGAGACATAGCAAAGTCCTTAATGAGAGTTATTTCGGGAATGACGAAACTGATCAAGACTAAGAGACAGAAATCTATCCTAGGCGAATATAGGAAACAATTCTTATGTTCACGAAATAACGGTATTTAAACATTAAGGGGTGGAGAGAGGAAAATAAATTTTGCAGGTAATACACAGCTACGTGAAATCACTCACAAAAAGCTTTTCTAGGAGGATTTCAAGACCGCTAAGGCCGAAGTCGAAGCAATTTAGTTCAATTCCGAAGGGAATGAAATAAGCCTTTGAAAAGATTATCGGAGATTTTACGGCTAAAGACAACTGATATGGAATGAGGGAGAAAAATAATGAAACATCCAATAACTTCCTATGGATTTGTCACGTGATTTCGAGGTCTTTTATATAAAAAAGCAATTTCGCATGGACATGTGCAAGATGTGAAAAGATTCTCCGCCATTATGTCGGTATCATAAAGACAGCGGATTTCAATTAAAAAGGGTGATACACGGTTAATGAAGGCCATTGACTGGTGCTGTATCAGGTTTCACAAAAATAGATAGCAATTATGCAGAAACAAATCAGAGTTTTAAAACATAGGGAGCCTTAGGGAAGAGCTTTCTTTTTAAGTTTGTTCAATAATGCTGGCTAAAAAAGAATCTGCCAAACATTTGCCCCGAAGGAACAAATTGATTCTTCCGTTTCTCATATATGATTATAGCAGGAGATTGCCTGAATTTCTATATACTACTATAAACACTTTGGAATTCAGAGGATGGACCCCGAGGTAACATGTGCGTCTTAGCAGTACTTGTATCGTCAAATACAATATGGTTTGCTGGCCAGAAAAGGGAAAAACTAAACATAACCATATAGGCATATCCCAACTACAAGTCACTGAAACAGATTCACTTAAATCTTCCGAAATACTTCTGATGCTAAAAGTAATCAAAATTTCTGTTTTTATTCATTTTCTCAAAACGACATTAAAATCATTAGACAAGCAAGTTTCTAGGAACGATGTGAAATGGTCTGGTGACGAAGTGTGCGAGTTTCTAAATTCTCGGACGTCCTTCCTGACACTCACCATTGGCTCTGGCTGAGGGAATGTTCCAACCTGGAACCGCTCGGCTCCCAGTCTAGAGCTTCACCAAATGAATCATTGGGTCCAGATGATACATAATATTCTGCAGAGGAAGGCATAATATGTTATTGCTTGGCATTTTATGTTACGGTATGTTACATGATGTTATGGTATGTTACGGTATGGTTTTGTATGTTGCACTTTGTTACGGTATGGTGCGGTATGTTATTTTATGGTATGGTATGGTATGGTATGGTATGGTATGGTGTGGTGTGGTGTGGTGTGGTGTGGTGTGGTGTGGTGTGGTGTGGTATGGTGTGGTGTGGTGTGATGTGGTGTGGTGAGGTATGGTGTGGTATGGCGTGCCGTGGTGAGGTATGGTATGGTATGGTGTGGTGTGGTGAGGTATGGTGTGGTGTGGTATGGCGCGCCTTGGTGAGGTATGGTATGGTATGGTGTGATGTGGTATGGTGTGGTGTGGTGTGGTATGGTGTGGTGTGGTGTGGTATGGTATGGTGTGGTATGGTATGGTGTGGTGTGGTATGGTATGGTGTGGTGAGGTGTGGTGAGGTATGGTGTGGTGTGGTGAGGTATGGTGTGGTGTGGTGAGGTATGGTGTGGTGTGGTGAGGTATGGTGTGGTGTGGTGAGGTATGGTATGGTATGGTGTGGTATGGTATGGTGTGGTGAGGTATGGTATGGTGTGGTGAGGTATGCTATGGCGTGGTGTGGTATTGTATGGTATGGTATTGTATATGATATGGTATGGTATGGTATATGATATGGTATGGTATATGATATGGTATGATATGGTATGGTTTTGTATGGTATAATATTATATGGTTTGGTATTGCAGTGGGGAAAATTTTGCAGAGTTTAGGAAATTCTCCTCCCCCAAATCAATATGGTTTGGAATATCATGACATTGGATATGCGACCCAGAAATTCACTGCCTTTTCCCCAATCAAAGCCAAATTTCTGCTGTTGAAGTATGGTATAACTTTAAAGCTGTTTTATTAGATTGAATGGTACTATACATTATTGTGTGATTTTATGATTGTTTGGCATTGAGTGGTATTGCATGGAATGTTATATGGTATGGTGAGTGGTATCGTATGTTGTATGGTGTTGCAAGATATGGTATGTTATTGAATAGTTTCTGTAAGGTACGTCACAGTACATGGGCATTTTTTTCAGTCCTACTGGAAGAAACTTGGCACAAAAGTATCATTTTTATCTTTTGTTTTTATTATAGAAGTATGCCCACTCCCTTCTTTCAAAACTTTGGAGTAGGTCTGTCCTTTCAAGGCCCATTAACACCCTTTGCAATACATTAGACTAGAGCTGTCTCAAACACACGAATCACACGAACAATTCGACAATCAACGTGCTTTGGTGCTTTCGTTTGTATTGCGTCAAATCAATAGTAAGTCATCCATTCATGGAGTTACAACAAAACATATTTTCTAATAAATTGCGACAAAACCCAAAACTAATTTATTTGCAAGAAGAAATAATTCAGTAAGATTCGTCGGGTATCCCTTTAAGAATTAGACGGGATTTGACACAACGCTACAGTAACCCTGCAATAGAATTAATTCACTCATGAAAAAGATTATTAGACTCCTTGTTTATGAGAAAATTTTGATGAAATCCCTGGAAGAAATTTAAAGGGAAGAAGGAAGAAAACGTAGGTGTGAGAAGCTTATCCTAACAGATATTTAATTACGATCAAAAATTGGAAGCTACCAAAGTACAACTTCTAAGACCCGTTTGAATAAAAAATCACAAAAATTGTTAGATGCTTTACTAACTTCCACCAACAAGCACAAAAAAGCACGACAGAAAAAGATTACAGGCGCAAAGCACTATCTGTCATTGAGTAGGGATTATGCTAAAAAACATATCAAAAGTGCAATCTATGTTGGTTATAGCTCTGTTTTTAACACAAAACTTTGTGATACCCATTAAAAGAGAGGTATTGTGCAATGTTAGTCTGAGAGATTTTGTTATTTCTAAGGTGGTTCTGTGGCTTTTGGAGCAGGGCGGTAAATGGCCTACATTCGTTAGGCAAGACACTGTAGCATCTCCAGTGACGTAATACGACAGCGGTGAAAATCTGGCTATTTTAGTTTCTGGTGCTGATGGTTTTGTACGAAAAAGTATGAAGAAGGAGCACAGATTGGAACAAAACTCTTCTTATATCAGGGATTTAATGGTTCCGAACAAAAAAAATGCAAATCACAGTCTATTAGAAGGAGAATATAGCATTGCACCGCTGTAAGAATACAAGGGACAAACATGGTACCAAATGAGGAGCAAATCACTTCTTAAAACAGTGTATTACGAGCTTTTGTGATTTAATATCAAATGATTTCTTCTGTGATTTTTTTGCGATTTAGTTGATGTGATTTCACTGGCTTTTTGTGAATGTTAGACTTTCTATGATAATTAAATTGATCGTAGGCTCCAGGCTTTCCCATCCACAACCGCAAACTTTGGGTTTTTCTGAGCCTTGGTGAAAAAATTAAGATTCTTGTTTGTAAGCCATAAAATATAAGAGAATGTAAAAATGATGGCAACAAAGGAATTTGGACTTAAAATATTTGATTTCATATAACATCATATGGTTTCTTTGACACGTTTTGACTTGCATTATTTTCCAAAAACTTTTGCGATCTACTGATTTCGTGGTTTCCTGTCCTTTACAATTAGTCCATTATTTCTTTTATGATTTCGAAGAGAGTGTTGCGAAGAAATTAGCTTTTTGGGTACAGTTTAGAAATGAAAAATGTTTCATATGTGCTGTTGTAGTTCTGCTTTTTGATAGCTTGCTAGCTTTTGTTGCATCTTCCAATGAGCAAGTACTTGGTAAAACTTTATGCTCAAAGTTCTATCCAAATAATTGAATTACTTAGTATCGATGATGTTTTAATCACCCTAAAAATAAAATATACTGTCTTATGCAAGCCTATTCCCTCTTCCGCAAAAATATAAAACCATCTCAACCCCACTCGAGTTAGATGTCCAATGTCCCCAACTGACCGACTACCACCACGAAGGCTTCATATTCAAAACTTCGTCACTTGAAAAAAAGGTAGCATACCCTAAAAATTGTATCAGATTAAACGCGAGTAATAATTCTTCCTAATGTGCGAAGCTTTTTAAGTTTGTGCCGCTTTATCACACATCAAGTCATTAAAAAACGTTCCTCCCTATTTTCATAAGAAAGAAAATCATTTTAATATTGCAAAATATATATATAATTGATCGCCAAGGTAAAACTAGACGATAAATCTTGTCTAAACAATCTTTACTGCAAAAAGTTACCAAAGCCGATTTAGGATTAGAATTTTCACGCGCAATTATAGAAATATTCACGATGGAAGTTTTAAATACATTTCGCAAGATGTTAAAGAGAGGGCGGGCTGAATAGTGCGGCGGCAGTTGAAAGAATTCAGTAATATAAGAGAGCTTCGTTGGGGAGCTTCTTCTGAGGCCGGCCACAGGCTTAAGTTGGACGAAAAACGCATTTCAACCATTTCCTTTAGCGGATTTGGTTTTTGAGTAATGCGAATTCAATACAGACAAGTTTAATCTGCCTTTAGGAAAAAACAACTATGCTGTGCGTCAATTGCAGTTTAAAATGCCTAAAAGATATCACCATTTAACGGGGATTGTTTATCGCCAGTATCTGCATACAATCACGGCGAAAGAATAATTTCAAAAGCACGTTAGCTAAAAATCTTCAAAAAAGGTTTTAAAAACAAACAGGGAATATTCACAGTGAAGACACATCAGTGTTATATATGAGGACTCGCAAAGCCCTTTTTAGAAAAAAAATTAGACGACAAGGGATAAAATACCTAAGTGTTTTCAATTTACGTGAACAGTTTGGCAAAAATACTCACGAAGGGTACAAGAAAATGGGAAGATTTTGGTCCAACTCTCGTCATTGTGATAAATAGATAAATAATACAAGGTGACGAAAAATGACAAATTCAAACCCAGGAATAGATCGAAAGAAGCAGATAGGACACAGGACTTGTCAGGCTGACTTGGTCTCCCTTACTATAGTACGTCATTTGAAGTAACAAGCGAAACAAAAACACCACACCAACACTAAATAATAAATACTAAAACACTAAATAAGTAACAAGTGATAAAAGATCACTTAAAATACTAAAAACACTAAATATGTAAGAAGTGATGAAACATCACTTAAAATACTAAAAACACTAAATGTGTAAGAAGTGATAAAACGTCACTTGCCTGGATGAGGACATTTCGATGGTGTACCCGGAGCTAAGGTTTCAGAGGCCGCGAAATTGGGGATGGCCTAAGGGGGCTTTTGCCCCCAAAAAAGTTTAAAAATAGACTTAAAACCATACAAAAATTACTATGCTCTTGATTTTAAGCATTTTTAGCCTCCCCCCAAAAAAACGTTTTAGCCCCCTCAATCTGTAATATGGTCCGCGGTCCTTCAAGATTTGACTTGGGTTTTTCTAAAAAGAGTTCGTTATTCCATTTTTTACCATTTAATACTTTTTACCCTTTTGATAATTTTCTCTACTCCCTATTTCGTCGATATTTTGGCTGGCAAAAAGGCTGATATATCAAACCTTTATTAAATTGAAAAAAGGTTTTTACCCTTTTAAATACACCAATAAGCATGATATGCATTGCATGCGATTGCTGAAAAGATGAGCCTTGGTTTTATTCAGTTCAGGATCTTGTTAGTGGAACAGAACGTAATAAATTTTGAGGTTTTATCAAAATATTTATTAGTACAGCTCGTACTTTAGGCTTTGGGCGGTCAACTAAGTCAAAAGTTTCCGGAATCAAAAGTCATTCATAGTGCTGTAGTTATTTTTACATCAGAAGTTTCCAAATAGAGCAACTACAAATTAATAGCCTAAATTTATTCATCTTCTCTCAATTCCGACTGCAAACTTAGATATTTCGTCTGAACCATGACTATTGTTAAAAATGGCGACATATAAAAAATATTCCAGTTAGGAGTACAAACAAATGAACTGCCTTATGAAAAAATCAAAACCCCTGTTTAAGTGTACTGCTTACTTAGGAAAAGCAAACTAGCACTCTCCTCAGAATAAATAACAAGCCCCGGGCAATATCAAATACAAATAATTTACATAGAATGGAAGGACTTGCCAAGGTGCAGCGTTACAGATGGAAAAGGACTGTCGCACCGGAGGAGCCGAGCCTTCCTGAAGCCATTGGGTGGCATTTTGACACATCCGTTACTGAAAAATGCGATTTTATAGTAAACACGGAATTTGTTTGTTTTTATTCAATATTAGATGTTTAGTTTGGAATATGCAGCAGGAAAGCGTATTTTCATTGAAGCTTTTGATTTCTCCGTTTATCTCGAATGTGTAAGCTGTGTCGCGCCCAAATTCAAACATCAACCACATACGAACTTGATGTAAATACGCGCTGAATGAGTAAATAACGGTGCCAATGTAATCAAACTTACCTTTGAGGGACCGGGACGGATTTCTTGCATCTAAAAAAAAGATATAAAACACGATTTAAAGAAAGGCGCGGGCTCTACGCATACTAATCAATAACGTACATGTTGTATAACTATTAATTTGACGGTGGTGTAAACACAAGCATAACGATAACACTTGCATTTGGTATCTTGTTAAATCTTAATCCTCCACCAATTGACTTTGCAAACATGTTAAAAGCGATTGAAACCAAGCTTTATCTAAGTTAATAAAGTTCAAACTTTGCGGGATCCCTGACTGAACAGATTTTTCCAAATAAAATCAACATTGTAGCTCTTATCTCTTCAAG